TGTGTGTGTGTGTGTGTGTGTGTGTGTGTGTGTGTGGCCAGCTCAGCCCGCCAGGGGGCGCGGCTGGCTGGCATGTGGTGTTGGGGGATTGAACCGTGGTCCCTGATGCTTTGCTAAGCTTGTTCTAAGTAGGTGCTTTAGACCACTGAGCCATCTCACCAGCCCTAGGTCTTCTTTTATCTTGGTCTTAATCATCCAGCAGAAAAGTATAAAAACGAATTATAAGATTCTCCAAACTTGATATGACTTTGTCAGAGTCAAAGTGTTAGATGGGTCTTTACATCCTATGCCAAAGAGAATGTGGCGATCGTTCTACCAACCATGGGCTACAAAGTTTTTCCTGAAAAGGTGGACCATATGAATTCAAACTTAACTTTTCTTTATAAGAGTCTTAGAAATAAAGTTAGCCTTTTAACGCGTGGTTGTGGAAAAAGTCATAAGACTTCTAAGGAAAATAAAGCGCTTTAAAAAAAATATTGTGGCCAATTAGAGTAAATAGTGTCACAAAAGAAAAATCAGGTAATCCTAACTGAATATGAGTGGATAAATACCTGACATTATAGCACTGTAGCACTGAAAAACCAAAAAGTATGAATAACAGCTATTATGCAACTTGTGGCATTTCTTAGGTAGACTACATCAATTACAGATTACCTTAAAATCTCTGTGTGTGCTTCCATTCTGACAATCCTTTACCTGAGGCTACCTTGTAACTCCTAGCTAGCATCCTGCTTGTGAAGAGACACAACTCAGAATTCCAAGATTGTAGAAGCCAGAAGGCCCACATAAACATTTATGCAAGCTCACATTCAACCCTGAATGTAGGTGTGACACTGGCAGGCAGAGGCACTGGTGTAAAGGAGTCGTGGGATAAAGCAGAAACTATCATATTCAGTGACTTCTCACTGTTCATGGTGCTCTGTTTCATAAAGTCTCTATCAGCACTGAACTAGTAAGTTCAGAAGCTTTGTTCCTAAGGGAAATGCAAGGTTAGGATCCTGTGAGCCTCCTATCACATTTTTTTGTCAACCTATCAATACAAAGCTTTTTTTTTATTGTTTCTGTATAAAGACACATTGCTTAATATAAACCATGCAAATTAACTACCAGCAGTATTTTTTTCTAAGAAAACTCTAGCCAAAAAGATTTAATATTTTCCTTACCTTGGATAATGTGATTGTAAGTTGCATGCTCTTTTTAATATACTTTCTACAAACCAGTTCTGTCATCTCATGAATTCACAAATTTAGTTGCTTTTCTATGTTTTCCACAGTTTTATAACCTCCTGTAAATGTGACTGCAGCACCTTCTGGAACAGCATTACTTACATCTCAGTGAATTTCCTTTTTGTTTTTCTGAATGTGCCATATTGTTGATTCATTAACTTGCCCTCTTGGCCAACAGTGCTCTAACTCTGGTTTGAACAAAGCTCATGTACCATACATATTTTATCTGGAAGGCACAACCTAGACTTGTACTTAGGAACACCAGACAGCACATTAGCCATTGTAAATAGCTAAAGCATGAAAAAGCACAAAAATGGGAAAGTGGTACAAAATAGATGTTAAAAAGGACGTGTGCTTGCAGCGCAAGACCTGCAACAGGCAGTATCCCATCACAGATATTCAGCCTCAAGTGGAAATGTGAATATTTCTAACTCTAATTTTTTGACACTTTGAACAACTACAAATGACCAGAAAGGGGCTGGGAGCTAGCCCAGCAGTCTGGGAAGCACAAAGACCCCGGTTCACTACCTAGGACAGCATGCCATGCCAGCCCTGCTCCATGCTGGCCACTGAAACTGGGCATGGTGGCACATACCTGTAATCCCAGCCCTGGGGACATTGACACAAGAGGATTACTATGAGTCCAAGCTGTGTAGTGAGATCCTGCACCAAAAAAATAAACAATTTTTTTTTTAAAAGAATGACCAGAAAGGCACTGCTAACAATGTTGGGATTATAAATAAACTGCTCTTGTTGTAAGAGATAGCTCAGTAGAATAAGTGCTTGCCTGGCAAGTACAGCATCCTAAGTTCAATCCCCAGTACTGCAAAAATAAATAAATAAATAAATAAATAAATAAATAAATAAGCGAAACTAAAGGAGGAAAGATTTTATTTAGTTCAAAGTTGTGGAGGTTTTAGTCCATAATCAGTCGCTCCAGAGACCAGCCATGATGGCACTGAGGAGGCTGAAAACAGGAGGATCACTACGAGTCTGAGCTGCAAGAGACCCTGCACCAAATACATTAAAACAAATAAATAATAAACTGATAACTGGTTCCAAAGCAGGGTGACTTGGCAGAGGGGCAACTGTTCAT